AACACTCTGAAATTTATTTTTTTACTACATGTAAACCACACAATAACCAAATTCTGTAAACTCAGCATGTAATACTTATAGAGAAAAAATTTTGGGGGAAAATTGAACAAATTTAAATTTTAAATAAAGGGAACACCTATCACAAAACTCACAGAGGAAAATTCCTAGAATCCACCTTGATAATAGACTCAAATTTCAAACACATATACAACAAATTCCAAAAAAATTTCCAAGACTGTAGGCATACTATCGAAGATACGGTACTATGTTCCTCAGTCATCCTCCTGGCCCTATATCACTCACTTATTTACCCTATCTCACCTATGGAATTTGGCATGGGGCTCAACAACAATAAACCATCTCAGACCACTAATCACCCAACAAAAGGCTGCAGTCAGAATGATAACAAATTCCCACTACAGACAGCACACTCCACCAATATTCAAAACTCTAAACCTACTCACAATACAAAACATCCATACTTATTACTGTACCTACTACATACATTTAACTCTGACATACATTTAACTCTGACATACACTTAACTCTGACATAAAACCCTCCCTCAAACATCTCCTTACCAACCTCAACAGAACACATGACCATAACACAAGACACAGATCACTCTTTGATGTTCCTCGTGTCCATCTCACGCTATGCAAAAACTCAATGCACATAAAAGGCTCTAAAATCTGGAATTCATTACCTGTGACTATAAAAGAAACAATGTCTGTTTATAAATTCAAGTCTCTTCTCAAAAATCACTTACTCACCCACAACTAAATAAATACTGAATAACTGTATCTCATAAATTGTATCTCATATATGTTCTCATTATTGTATATCATAAATGTCAACCTGTGACCCAATCAAACTTGTTACTATTTAACTTCATTACCTAACATTCTAGTGATTACACAGCAAACACAGTAATGACCATGTGACCTGTCTTTGTAATACTCATTTGTACTAAATTGTTATCTGTTTTACAATAATTTTTGTGATGAATGGTTTGAAAAACCGACAAGTTGAAGATTGAGACACTTATGCAACATATTGGAATCTTTATTCAGGAAACGTTTCGCCACATAGTGGCTTCATCAGTCCAATATAAAGTAGAAAGGTGTAAGGAGAGGAGGAGTTTGAGGTAATCAGTCCCTCAGCCTGGAGTAGATGTGTTCAGTCCACTGTGTGGCTTCATCAGTCCAATACATTGTTGTTAATCTTAAGTTAATTTTAAGCCTGCCCATAATGCTCAGCATACAAGGGGCTTTGGCATGTTTGCACTTTAAAAATTGTATCCTTGTACTTCTCTGTACATGTTCAAATTAAATAAATAAATAAATAAATAAATAAATAAATAAATACTGATTGTACAGCAATGCAAGCAACCATACGACCTGTTTTTGTAATACTCATTTGTGCTTAATTGTTATCTGTTTACAATAATGTTTTACCACTGAATACTTCATTGCTTAGTTAATCTTAAGTTTAATTTTAAGCTCCCAGTAATGCTATGTATTCAAGTGGCTTGGCATGCTGCATTTAACTGTATTCTTTTGTACTTCTCTGTATCATGTTCAAATAAATAAATAAATAAATAAATAAATAATAATAAAAAATATACCAGAAACAGCACCGCCCTTGGGACTACCTTGTAGAAACCTGCTGGTGGTACGCGCCCACTTTGGCACCTCATCACGTACCATTACTCATTGTTTCCTTCCTGTCAGGTATTCTTTGATCCATTGCAGTGCCTTTCCTGTTATTCCTGCCTGCTCTGGGACTGGTTAGCTGGTTTATGGCCTTCTTACAGTCCAGAAAATGCAGTTTACCCACCCTTCTCTTCCTGCATAACTTCTGTCACCTTGTCGTACAACTCCAGTAGGTTAGTGACACAGGAATTCCCTTCCCTGATGCAGTGCTGGTTATCATGTATAATCTCACTCCTTTCTAGGTGCTCCACCAGTCTTTTCCTGATAAGTTTCTCCATGACTCTGCATAAATACACGTCAGTGACATTAATCTGAAGTTTAGTACTAGGTGCTTCTCTCCTTTCTTAAAATTTGGAACTATATGTGCTGTCTTTCACGCCTCAGGTAGTTGCCCTGTTCTGAAAAATGTTAAAGATTGCTGTTAGTGACATACACAGTGCTTCTGCTTCCTCTCTCAGGACTCAAGGGGAGATGTTGTGCGGTCGCACTGCCTTTGAGGTATCTAGTTTATTTAGCCTCTTTATGTCCTCCTCGGTTGGGTGTAGTGTGTCCAGCACTTGGTGTACCCTTACCATTCCACGTACCGTGTTCAGTTCTGTCTCCACTGAAAATACTACCTTAAATCTCGTGTTTAGCTCTTCACATACTTCTTTGTCGTTTCTTGTGACGTACCCTCCTTCCTTCCTCAGCCTGATTACATAGTCCTTGACTGTTGTATTCCTCCTGACGTGGCTGTACAACAGCTTTGGGTCAGATTTGGCTTTCGATGCTGTCATTGGGGAGGTTGAGCAAATCTCAGACCTTCCTCCAACACAATTGTCTTCAAAGATTTGTTAAGTTATACCATGAATTAAGCAAAAATCCTGGACTTCACCTTACGAAACAGACAAAGCAAATGCGATAGTAATTATGGACAAGGTAGATTATAGTGAAAAAATGAGCATGTTATTAGAAGACGGGGAACTTACGTGCCCCTTAAATTCGCTGATCGGACGAGAAGTGTTGCACGTAATTACGTGCCTCTTAAGGATATCTTGAAGTCTAAATTCCAGAGATCTTGATGTTTCGCTTCCATTCTCTTTCTCGTAATTTCCGAAAGGCATATTTTTTTTTTATGTCAGCCATTTTCTTTATGGTACTGTCTATGTTTGTTCATATTTTTCACTAAGTCTTTGATAAAGGTCGAGGCGGTGGAGACCATTTTCCTACGTCCGTTGTCGTTAGCACTGCTACACTAGATGTCACTTCACTCGCTAGCAGAAAGTTATGTTCGGCAATAAATCAATGTCTTTGCCAAATGCATCTTTTTTGCCAGTGAATAAAGTCCGTCCGTCTTTATATATAATGACGGACGAACTTATGAAAATAGCTTCAAATGCATCAACCTTCATCAAAGACTCAGTGAAAAATAAGAATTAACACACGGCCAATAACACTAACAAGGTTGGCGGGTATTTCATGCCTAATGATCGAGGCGGGAAGCTGTTGACAAAAGTACATAGGCGAAGCATCAAGAATCCTTGAACTCAAATTTCAGGAACACCAAAATGCATTCAGATGGGACGATCAAAGTGACGTCTTCGTTCAACATAAAACAGCGGGGCGACACATCATGAAGTTCAGTGAAGCCAAATTAATAACCGCCAGGTGCTAGGCAATATCAGATATCAGGCATCTGTAGAATATCCAAAAGCATAGCCATACAACTGCTACACAACACTGGCACCGGATAACACCACACTGACACTGGATGACACCACTGTGTTATGGACTACAGCAAGAGGTCTAACCACCTTCTTACATATGCATTTGTCTAAATATTAACTCTAATGTGTATTTCAGTTTAACCTATGCTCACCTCTTTTCTTGCACTATATACACTTCTCATCTTAGCTTCTCTGTATTAGAACCGAAGATACTACTTGCGGTGAAATATTTCCCTAACAAATGTCGTGACCAGTGTGTAAGTCTTTTACACACACCACTAACACTTCAGCAGCAGAAGTGAAGAGAATTCATAAAGAATGTCTTCACTGGACACAGAACATCTCACTACATTTAAATGATTAAGAGATCCCTTTTAAAGTATAACTCTTATTTTTACTAGGCTAGCAAAAATTTAAGCCTGGCGCCCCCTACTTTCCGGCGCCACAACCTCCCTGCTCACAACAAAACAATTACCAACCTTTAAAACTGCGTTATGACGGATAAGCAAATGTAGACGATCCCGTCTTACTGCTGCTCAAGTAACCCAGTGACTACCATACTGTGGCAGCCACTATCAGTGTTCACACTCACGACAGAGATTAGATTACTGGAGCAAGTTAATCAGTGACTTATCAGTTGCTGTAATGGTATGCTTAGATTAAAAAAATTATGGAATCTGATACGCAATGTGACATAGCGCTACTATGTCTGTATATTTGAAATTATAATTATTTGTCCTTTATATAGCATGAAGATAACATAAAAACAATAAAATGTTTAAGAAACTGAATATTGGCATTGTTCTGGCTGCAAAATTAATGTAAGAGTTACATTATGTACCCATTTTCACCCAGTGGGTGGTATATACTGGCTCCAGGAACTGAGGTAAAAGGTTTTGATGACAAAACAGGTTAGATTAGCTGGTTTATGGGGTTTAAGCCTATCAATTACACAAGGGCTGCACGGTAACGTTTTCATCATGGGACAACAACTAATTCGTAAGTTTTAGTCTGAAATTGCTATGAAACTTGTCAATACACATCTATATCTTGTTGTACATGTTAATACGTGTTAACTAATATAAATCTGAGTATATGTAATATTAGGTTAGGTTAGGTAAGGTTCGTCAGGAAACAGGACAAATGTTTCCTGACGCGGGTCTTAGTCGGATGATGACCCGCCTTTGGAGCTTTTGGTCATCTGACCGAGGCCTTCCGCTGGCTTACCGGTCCACCCCTTTAAAAATTATGGTCATTTATAATCATTGTTATTCACTGATGTAATACTAGTAGTTTTCAATATCTAGTGTACTGTTATTATATTAGTTGACTTTCTCCACTGTTTAAAAAGTTGTGTATTCATCTATAAATTGTCCTAAAGTGTAAATATTGTTAGTTTTTTTAGTTGTTGTTATTGAATAGTTTATACGATGTTGTGAATTCTAGTGCAAATATCTTATTTTTTTACACTGTGGTAAAGGAGGGGAAGTATGTAAGTCATTTTGAGATGGCATCATAATCACATGTAATACATGTGTGTACAATGTATATAATACATGTGTGTACAATGTATATAATACGTGTGTACAATGTATATAAATACATGTGTGTACAATGTATATAATACATGTGTGTACAATGTATATAATACGTGTGTACAATGTATATAATACATGTGTGTACAATGTATATAATACATGTGTGTACAATGTATATAATACGTGTGTACAATGTATATAATACATGTTGTACAATGTATATAATACATGTGTGTACAATGTATATAATACATGTGTGTACAATGTATATAATACGTGTGTACAATGTAATAATACATGTGTGTACAATGTATATAATACATGTGTGTACAATGTATATAATACGTGTGTACAATGTATATAATACATTGTGTACAATGTATATAATACATGTGTGTACAATGTATATAATACATGTGTGTACAATGTATATAGAAGTCATTATTTTGTATTAATTCTTAGGTAAATTTTATGTCAAGTATATTTAAAATATACAAGCATATTGTGATATATTTGAATGATTACAAAGTATATTGTTGTGTTATCTTGTATTTCGTTAAAGGATAAAAATCCCAGATGAGAAATATTATGTAAGATCAAAGATAAATGTGTTTGTGTATTACAAGTATAAATAAAATTCTCTTTTCTGTGGAGAACTGGACGAGGCTTTTTATATTTTATAAAGGTTTACGATGTTTTAAAATAAAACAATAAAGTATTGAGTACATGAAGCTGTTAAAGTAAATGTTCGCCCTTGTGGTTAGCGCAACTTTTTGACTATATTAATAACAATAAAGTAAAATGTGGGGAGGGGGGGGGTGAGTCACCTGCTTCGTACAGTGGTCAGGTGTATATCAGCACCATTATATCAGCACCATTATATCAGCACCATTATATCAGCACCATTATATCAGCACCATTATATCAGCACCATTATATCAGCACCATTATATCAGCATCATTATACCAGCACCATTATATTAGCACCATTATATCAGCACCATTATATCAGCACCATTATATCAGCATCATTATACCAGCACCATTATATTAGCACCATTATATCAGCACCATTATATCAGCACCATTAATCAGCACCATTATATCAGCACCATTATATCAGCACCATTATATCAGCATCATTATACCAGCACCATTTATATTAGCACCATTATATCAGCACCATATATCAGCACCATTATATCAGCACCATTATATCAGCACCATTATATCAGCACCATTATATCAGCACCATTATATCAGCACCATTATATCAGCACCATTATGACTAGTGTTACTTTGTTGACTGGAACAGTCACTGATGATGTCCATTTTTATATACATTAATATCATTTTCATATAATGTGAGTCACTATATATATTTATTTTTTGTATGCATTGTTTTAAATAAAATATAAAAAAAAAATCGTAATTCAGGAATTAAATTGAACTTTTAGTATACATACACTGATAAATTAACTCCATCTGGTAATATACATTGTGAAAGAAACTTAGTGTCATGAGCTGCAAATTTTTCAGCCTCTAACAACAGTAATGAGTTATTTTATAAACATTAATTCAAACACAACAAATTACAGTATAGTTTATTATGTACTTATATAATTATTTATGAATCTCAATTTTTAGCAAGGTATGGTTGAATTTAGACAAGTTTAAGCAGTAATGAATTATAAAATACAGTCAGAATTTTTTTTTCCAGAAAGGCTGCTAATATGCAACAGGTGTATAAAGTACTTTAAATATACCGACCACTTGTAAACGAGTTCTCTGAATTCACTGTTTTTTATGCATCACAACACATAATTATGTAGGATGTGACAGGAGTTACTCGGGCAAAGTTTACATTTGACTGAGGGGCAGACTCTGAGTAGCCGACACTGGGCAGGATAGTGCCAGCCAGTAGACCAGCCGACACTGGCAGGATAGTGCCAACCAGTTGACCAGCCGACACTGGCAGGATAGTGCCAACCAGTTTGACCAGCCGACACTGGGCAGGATAGTGCCAACCAGTTGACCAGCCGACACTGGGCAGGATAGTGCCAACCAGTTGACCAGCCGACACTGGGCAGGATAGTGCCAACCAGTTGAGCAGCCGACACTGGGCAGGATAGTGCCAACCAGTTGACCAGCCGACACTGGCAGGATAGTGCCAACCATATGACCAGCCGACACTGGGCAGGATAGTGCCAACCAGTTGACCAGCCGACACTGGGCAGATAGTGCCAACCAGTTTGACCAGCCGACACTAGCAGGATAGTGCCAACCAGTTGACCAGCCGACACTGGGCAGGATAGTGCCAACCAGTTGACCAGCCGACACTGGCAGGATAGTGCCAACCAGTTGACCAGCCGACACTGGCAGATAGTGCCAACCAGTTGACCAACCGACACTGGGCAGGATAGTGCCAACCAGTTGACCAGGGCCCACACTGGCAGGATAGTGCCAACCAGTTGACCAGCCGACACTGGGCAGGATAGTGCCAACCAGTTTGACCAGCCGACACTGGGCAGGATAGTGCCAACCAGTTGACCAGCCGACACTGGGCAGGATAGTGCCAACCAGTTGACCAGCCGACACTAGCAGGATAGTGCCAACCAGTTGACCAGCCGACACTGGCAGGATAGTGCCAACCAGTCGACCAGCCTACACTGGGCAGGATAGTGCCAACCAGTTGACCAGCCGACACTGGGCAGGATAGTGCCAACCAGTTGACCAGCCGACACTGGGCAGGACAGTGCCAACCAGTTGACCAGCCGACACTGGGCAGGATAGTGCCAACCAGTAGACCAACCGACACTGGCAGGATAGTGCCAACCAGTTGACCAGCCGACACTGGCAGGATAGTGCCAACCAGTAGACCAACCGACACTGGGCAGATAGTGCAAATCAGTAGACCAGCCGACACTGGCAGGAAAGTGCCAACCAGTAGACCAGCCGACACTGGCAGGATAGTGCCAACCAGTTGACCAGCCGACACTGGGCAGGATAGTGCCAACCACTAGGCCAACCGACACTGGGCAGGAAAGTGCCAACCAGTAGACCAACCGACACTGGGCAGATAGTGCCAACCAGTAGACCAACCGACACTGGACAGGATAGTGCTAACCAGTAACCAGCCGACACTGGGAAGGATAGTGCAAACCAGTAGACCAGCCGACACTGGGCAGGAAAGTGTCAACCAGTAGACCAGCCGATACTGGGCAGGATAGTGCCAACAAGTAGAACAGCCGACACTGGCAGGATAGTGCCAACCAGTAGACCAGCCGACACTGAGCAGGAAAGTGCCAACCAGTAAACCAGCCGACACTGGGCAGGATAGTGCCAACCAGTAGATCAACCGACACTGGGCAGATAGTGCAAATCAGTAGACCAGCCGACACTGGGCAGGAAAGTGCCAACCAGTAGACCAGCCGACACTGGGCAGGATAGTGCCAACCAGTTGATCAGCCGACACTGGGCAGAATAGTGCCAACCAGTAGACCAGCCGACACTGAGCAGGAAAGTCCCAACTAGTAGACCAGCCGACACTAGGCAGGATAGTGCCAACCAGTAGACCAACCGACACTGGACAGGATAGAGCCAACCTGTAAACCAGCCTACACTGGGAAGGATAGTGCAAACCAGTAGACCAGCCGACACTGGGCAGGAAAGTGACAACCAGTAGACCAGCCGATACTGGGCAGGATAGTGCCAACAAGTAGAACAGCCGACACTGGGCAGGATAGTGCCAACCAGTAGACCAGATGACACTGGGTAGGAAAGTGCCAACCAGTAGACCAGCCGACACTGGGCAGGATATTGCCAACCAGTAGACTTACCGACACTGGGCAGGATAGTGCCAACCAGTAGACCAGCTGACACTGGGCAGGATAATGACAACCGGTAGACCAACTGACACTGGGCAGGTTAGTGCCAACCAGTAGACCAACCGACACTGGGCAGGAAAGTACCAACCAGTAGACCAACC